TGTTGTTACTATATTTATCTATTTTCCGTATCCACATACTTCTTTACTTAATGTGTTCACTGCACTGATCCTCGGGTTGATCCAGTGGTATTGTTTGCATCAGTGATCATTTGCAGATATCTGCAAATAACATGAATGGAGAACAAACAAAAAAATCAATCAGGGGCCAGGTGCAGTGGCTCACACCTGTAATCCCAGCACTTTGGGAGGCCAAGGTGGGCCAATCACCTGAGGTCAGGAGTTCAAGACCAGCCTGGCCAACATGGTGAAACCCCGTCTCTACCAAAAATACAAAAAGTAGCTGGGCTAATTTGCCACGTGGTGGCAGGTGCCTGTAATCCCAGCTACTCAGGAGGCTGAGGCAGAAGAATAGCTTGAGCCCAGGAGGCAGAGGTTGCAGTAAGCTGAGATTGTGCCACTGCACTCCAGCCTGGGCACCAGAGTGAGACTCCATCTCAAGAAAAAAAAAAAAGAAAGAAAGAAAAGAAAAGAAAAAAAAAATCAATCCAGGAGTGAAAAACACAGGTCTGTAGACAAGCTAGCATACACAGGCTGTTCCTGTTTCTACCTCTTCTTGGGCCTTAGCCTCCTGTGGGACCCTTGTCTTTCTTGGGCCCCTCACCTTCAGTAGCCTCTTGGCATTCTCACCCATTTCTCTGTGCCCAGTAAAATGACATCCAGTCTGAAAATAGGAATTTTCTATCCGCATCTAAAGTTCACTTGCAAGGTGGTTTCAGCCATTGCCCTGAGATGAGAAAGAAGAAGGAAGCATTGGTATGTGTATCATTAATGAACAAGGATTTTACAGGCACTGAACTAGCCCTAGGGAGATAATCATAACATAACAGCCCCTGCCCTCGAGAACTTCCAGGCTACAAGGGAGAGCTTCTGGCCCAGCAAGGGAAAAGTCCCAGGAATCTGGGGCGGGCAGTTGTATTAAGGTTCTTGCCTCTCCCCAGTGGGACTGGAAACCTAGTGGGAAATGTCAGGTTGGAGGTACCTCAGGGACCACAAGTATACGAGTTCAGAAGAGGTCTGAATAGATGGGCCCGGAGCCCAGGGGAATAGCAGGGCGACAGAAACACATCCAGCCATGGAAGATTCAGGCACTGATTGGCCAGGAAGCGGGCCAAGAACAGAACCCTGGCGAATTCCATTGTCAAACACATTGCCTTGCATTTCTCTTCTATTTCCTTCCCTTTAAAGACACAATAACGGCACATCAGGATATTGTGTAAATACCTCTAGAAAAAGAACAGAAAGCTCAACTAATGAGAAAAATATCTTTGAATTACCTGATCCCATCCCTCTTTATAGGGACAGATGGGGGATTGGAAAATTCTTTTGTTGTTGTTGTGTTTTTTTTGTTTGTTTATTTGTTTTTTGACAAAGTCTCACTCTGTTACCCAGGCTGGAGTGCAGTGGTGCGGTCTCAGCTCACTGCAACCTCCGCCTCCCGAGTTCAAGTGATTCTCAAGTAGCTGGGATTACAGGAGTGCACCACCATACCTAGCTAATTTTTTTGGCATTTTTAGTACAGATGGGGTTTCACTATGTTTGCCAGGCTGGTCTTGAAAGCCTGACCTTAGGTGATCCGCCAACCTTGGCCTCCCAAAGTGCTGGGATTACAGGCGTGAGCCACCATGCCTGGCCGGAATATTCTTACGATGGTGTTCCAGGGCAGCACTAGGAATGCGGATAGATGGCATGGCCATTGGCAACGTCCACCTACCAAAAAGCGGAGGGGCCTGCACAATCATAAAGGATCATTCATGTTGGCGTCGTTTGTAGGAGCAGGACATTGAAAATGGCCCAAATAATCTATTGGTATGGTTCATCTGCTCTACAGCCATTGAAAGACTAGGGAAGTTCTTCATGTATTGATTTGGGTTTTGTTGTTGTTGTTGTTATTTTGTTTTGTTTTGAGATGGAGTCTCACTCTGTTGCCCAGGCTGGAGTGCAGTGGTGCGATCTCAGCTCACTGCAACCTCCGCCTCCCAGGTTCAAGCGATTCTCCTGCCTCAGCCTCCTGAGTAGCTGGGATTACAGGTGCCCACCGCCATGCCCAGTTAATTTTTGTATTTTTAGTAGGGATGGGGTTTCACCATGTTGGCCAGGCTGGTCTCGAACTCCTGACTTCAGGTGATCCACCCACCTCGACCTCCCAAAGTGCTGGGATTACAAGCGTGAGCCACTACACCTGGCCTCGTGTATTGATTTGTAACAGTCACACACGCACGCACACACACACACACACACTCTCTCCATACATAGCCTCTCACATATATAGTGAGCAAACAGCAGTGGTGTTCACAGCGTGCTACCAATTGTGTTAAAAAGGAGAGTGGGACGGTACATTTGCATTTTATGTCTACATTTGCTCACATGCATACACAATATCACTGGAAGTAGACAAAACAAAAAACAAAACAGAAAAACAAAAAAACACAACCCTGGTAACTTTGAGAAAGGGAATTAGGAGGCTCAAGGATGAGGTGGGAGCAGATTTTTCGCTGAATGCTTTTGTACCTTTTGAATATTGAACTCTGTAGAAAAGTAACCTATTCAAAAAATAAACAAGCTTAATAATTATTTTCAAAGAGACAAGCAAAAATAATCCCTGAGGAGCCATAGGAAAATGCCCTTTAGGGAAGATTCTCACGGAGAATAGAGGTGTCGTGAAATGTGCCTTGCTGTGTCTCGAGGTGCTCAGAAGTTAAACCATGTGAAACTCGGCCTGAGTTATCCCGCTAAGGTGCTTCTTGCTGTGAAGTCTATGTGCTGTGAAGACGGACCTTTCTGGGGGAAGAAGGTGGGGGTGGATTCACAGCCAGGGGAAAAGATCAGAAGGAAAGAAAAGGTTTGGGAGACCCCAACATTGGTATAGAAGAAACTTCTAGTTATCATTTCAACCAGATAGTCAGGTGCTATAAAGCAGGATCCAGAACTGTAAGATTTTTACCCTTTTATAGAACTTCCCCATGTTTTCTCCCTTAAATCTTGTCTTTTCTCTTGTAATAATGGACATGAAAGTCTCAAAATGAAGAGGGTCTGTGAGCTTGTGTTCCGGAACCACAAGAAATGGTGGCCGAAAGGAGACCATCTTCCCTGAGCCCATCTTGGAGGGAAGAGAGATGCCATAGTCTGGATGGGTGGTGACAGCTACCAAGAGGAGAGGAGAGCAGGGGAAGCCCTGGGACCTGCCATGGTGAAATGGGAGGGCTGTGAGGAGCCTGCCTGGACCTGTGAACTGCCCGGGGACTCAGGAGAAAGGGGTTCTGCAAATGCAGTGACAGATAAGCATTACTCGGTAATAGGATTAAATTTGAAACTCTTACAGGTGAGATGTGACTAGCCCATTCTTGTATCACAGAGAGCTAGGCTTTTTCTTCATTCAACAGGTATTATTTTATTTTATTTATTTATATTTTTTTGAGATGGAGTTTCACTCTTGTTCCCCAGGCTGGGGTGCAACGGCGTGGTCTTGCTTGCTGTGACCTCCACCTCCCAGGTTCAAAAGATTCTCCTGCCTCAGTCTCCTGAGTAGCTGGGATTACAGGCACCCACCACCATGCCCAGCTAATTTTTTTCGTTTTTAGTAGAGACAGGGTTTCTACGAGACCATGTTGGCCAGACTGGTCTCAAACTCCTGATCTCAGGTGATCCGCCCGCCTCGGCCTCCCAAAGTGCTGGGATTACACGTATGAGCTACTGCACCTGGCCATTCAACAGGTATTATTTTATCTTCATTGTTACTAAAAGAGCATAGAGGAACCTTCCTGTTTATTTTCTTACCTCATGCTGATCTTGAAACAACAATGAAAATGCTTCCACTACAGGGATCTTAATCAACACCAAACACTTCAAACGAGGGAAGATTATTTACTCCCATCTCTTCCCCCTTTTCCTTTCCGATGCTAACAACTTGCTACTTTAACCCCAGTTTTGCCCACTCTTTCCCAGAAAAAATCAACAAACATGTCTGCACCTACTATGGGCAGACACCTGTCGATTCAATGAAGTGTAAGCTTCCAGCTTTGGCTGGGCACAGTGGGCCTGTAATCCCAGCACTTCGGGAGGCCAAAGCGGGAGGATTGCTTGAGTTCAGGAGTTCAGGACCAGCTTAGGCAACATAGGGAGACCCTCATCTCTAAAAAAAAAAAATGTAAAAAATTTAGCCAGGCATCGTGGTGCACATCTGTGGTCCCAGCTACTCGGGAGGCTGAGATGGGAGGATTGCTTGAGCCCAGGAGGTCAAGGCTGCAGTGAGCTGTGATTGTGCCGCTGAACTCCAGCCTGGGAGACCGAGTGAGACCCTGTCTCAAAAATAAAATAAAATACAGTTTTCAGTTTTGCTTGCAGGGAGTTTGCAGTCTCACTGGGGGACAAAGAATTACACTTAGAAGTGAGTACTAATGCTTTAGAGCATATGTTCAACACGAAGCCAGAGAAGTCGGTAATAAAGGCTTCGGGAATCCACCTGCTGGAAACATCCTGTGGATAGAGACACGCAAGCTTCTTGCAGGAAGGCAGGCCTGGAAGGACCGGTTAGACTTACGGGAGGACTACAGAGAGCACTTCAGGCAGGTGTGGAGCTTCCTTGTGGAATGAGAGGGAGCCCGTTAGCTGAAGGGGAGGACCAGGGAGCTGTCATTGGTGGATGTCATTGCTGAGTCAATGAAAGTCTAAAGTAGGATTTTCCCAGACTTACAGAAACCCTGTGTATTGCAAACATACCCGCCACAGTGTTAAAGAGATAACAAGGACTCTGATCAGACTCCTGTGACTTGGCAGCTTAGTATGGAGTAACGGGGGGGCATTGTGCTCAGGGGAGGCTACGGTATCTGTGTTCAGCCCAATCCTCTTAGGTCTCTCCTTGCACAGTTGGAACCAAGATAAGGGCGAACTTTAAAGGATGCCTCACTCTCCCTTCAAGCTCAACTCAGATTATTTCTTTCTTTTCCTCTCTCCATTCTCTTCCCTGTCCTGCTCACGGCCAGATGTCGAGGAGAAATCCCTTCCCACTGTGAGTTTTGGTTGTGATGTCAACCTGTGACATTTGCCTTTTTAGAGAGATCAGCACATGCATTGATTAATGAAGAGTGTAAATTATGGGAACAGGCTGGGCACGGTGGCTCACGCTGGTAATCTCAGCACTTTGGGAGGCAGAGGCAAGAGGATCAAAGAATTCAAGACCAGCCTGGACAACATAGGGAGACCTCATCTCTAAAATATATCTATTTTTAAAAATATTTAAAATTAAAATATGGAAATGATGCCAATAGTCTCATCTAAAAATCCCAAGTTTCTAGCTCCAGCTGTGACGCTTTTTAGCTGTGTGAACTTGGACTGTCACTCAAATTCCTCAGTTTCACTTATCTGCAAAATGAAACTTATTAATACTATCCTCTCTACTGCATGTGATCTTGAGGTTCAGATGAAATAATGTGAGAGCACTTTGGACGCTAAAGACCGTATTATTTGTAGCTCAGGGTGAAGACTGCATGGGGGCAGAGGGAAGTGAAGTTGGGAAATCTCAATAAATCCCAGTTAGCCCTATACTTTTATAAAATTGTTTTATGTCGTTAAAAATAAATTTAACTAGATAGCTCCCTTGGTGTTTTAATAACTCTCGCTTTCATGATTCCTTTTTCCTTTCTAGATGTCCCTAAGTTCCAGCTCTCCCCTAAAAGTTCCAGCTCATCTCGCCTGGCCTCCTCCTGAGTCAGTGGGACTCCCAGCCACTGCCACCGCAGCTGAAATTCTCATGCAGCATCTTCAGAGGCACCCTGGGCCCCAGGCATGACTCATCCAGGTTCCAGAGCCAAAGCGGACTGAACAACATAGAAAGACTTTTATTATAGAAATGACAAGATGCTTTGCACAGTGGAGAGCTGAATTTACTTGGCTCCTATTAGAAACTCTTTCAGCTTAAGTATTTATTGTGGTAGTGAGTCCTACAGTATTTCAGTAAAAAGGAATTCATGGCATAAATGTGGACAGATTTACGGATGTAGAAACATGATGATAGATATCATGAGGTTGGTGATGGGACATATAACGGCACCACTGGTAGTACCAGGTGGGTGAGGCAGGTCCCAGAAGGATACAGGCTCATTCTCAAGGCTGCATGAGCAGTTGAATGGAGGGGCTGTTTACCGTGGTATCTTAGTTTGCTAGGGCTGCACCAGAGACCAAGAACCTTCAACAACAGGAATGTATTTCCTTGCAGTTCTAGAAGCTAGACACCCAGGATCTGGCAGGGCTGGTTTCTCCTGAGGCCTCTCTCTGGGCTTGTAGATGCCATCTTCTCCCTGCATCCTCAAGTGGTCATCCCTCTATATATGTCTGTGTCTAAATTTCTCCTCCTCCTCCTCCTCCTCCTCCTCCTCCTCCT